TTTTGTTGTCGTCTATTCGAGGAGTGTGTGTAGTTGTATACGGTCTGTGGTTGTTGAGGGCTACGGGGACGTTGATTTTGTGTTTTTTCCGACATAGGGATAGGTGGGGGGTAGTGGTGCGGTGTGTGCATATGTTATGACTTGGTTGTGCATCGTACTAGTGTTTGTGTGCAATTGTTGGTGTGTTGTTGTGACTATGGGGTTGTCGAGCTTGTATTTTTCCTGTGGGTAATTGTCGGCGGTAGTGGTGTTAGTACATGGGCACAAGTTGCTTGCAAATGTTAAGTAATAAAGTATATCACAGCATCCTGGTTTGCGCATTTTCCTGCTAATTAGTATTGTTGCACATTATGGCACACACCATTTTGCCTATGTGCACACGCAGATGTTTTTCAACTTTAGTTGTTTTTTCTTTGCGTTTTTACCTATAGTTGCACAATTTGCCGGCGTTTTTCTTTTTTCTTTTTAATTTGATTTTGGTTTTCACCGATTCTGGGGGTGGGTGTCTAGTTGTGTTGGTTTGGTGTTCTGGTCGTCGACGCTGCTATGCCATTTATTTATTTATTGCTTTTTCGATTCTTGCTTATTTTAGTAATTTCTCGTGTTTTTTTTTAGTTTACGTGAGTATAGTTTCGCATGATGGCACACACGCATGACTACATATGCATTCAAACTTGTTTAGCAGTTGTACTTATAGAAATTAAGTCTGCACTGTTTGGAACACACAGGTTAACCAATGTGCACACATTAGATATCGCATCATCCTGGTTTGTGTATATTCCTGATGAACAGTATTGTTGCATATTATTGCACACACTGTTCTGCCTATGTGCACACGCAGCTGATTTGTTTAGCAAGTTGTAATTATAGAATTATGTCTGCACGGTTTGGCACAGACATGTTAACCAATGTGCACACACTTGATATCTCATCATCCTGGTTTGTGTGTTTTCCTGCTGATTAGTGTTGTTGCACTTTATGACACATCATTTTGCCTATGTGCACAGGTATCTATTTTCCATCTTTTCACCCAATATTTATGTCCCTAATGTTTGAATCTGTTTTTTTTTTGGCATTTCTTAATGTTTTCTATCATTTTACGCCTTTGCCAGAAAGATTTCTTGTCTGTGTTCCTTGATGATGTGGTTGATGAACGGTGTGGGGCGATTGTACGAAAGCTTATTCCTAGAAGCGTGTTGATGGCGTGATGCACGTAACAAAGTGGATTGTGGCGTCATTGCGATGCGGCACATGGGGACCTTAGCTTCTTGGGGCAATCAATTAATCAATGGGATTGTGGTTTGCAGAAGGGTGATATAGGGGCCTTGATTTGTTGTGGATACTTATATGCGTCAGATTTTGACAATTGATTTTAACATACACCATTCCAAGAACATCCATAGCGTAGTTGAATACCATGACGCGGATTAACAACGTTAGCTACATGTGCTCATTTCAACTAGTTGATTAGTTCTGTTATTAAGTTCATTTATGTACTTTCATGTTTCATGTTTATCATGATTGAGATTTTATCCAAGGGAGTTTTATGTTCTATCTGGTCTTTTTTATTTTGAAAACCCATACTATAATCAAGACATACTAATTGTACACATTATGGCACACAAGGTGCACACCTATTTGAGTTTCGTCTTCTCAGCCACACACCAATATGGACGTTATGGCATAGACAATTTTACACAGGTGCACACAGATGTGTATAATATCACCCTGGTTTCCGTGAATTCAAACTATTAGCATTCTTTAGCGTCATGGCACACATAGATCAACCTAATTGCACGTCTATTCATGGACACACAAATTCTTCACATTATGGCACACATGCATGGTGTAGCCCATGTGCACACTAACTTTAGTTAGTGCCATGGCACACACAGTGTACCCTAAGTGCACACAGTTTAACCCAATTGCACACCCTAATCTACTAACATAAGTGCACAGCAAATTCGGATTCCCCTTTCATGACGCTCTCACTCTGAACGTCATGTAAGTTTTTGGTCTAATTACTAACTCAGATGTCATATGATTATACATGCACATATGCACACACACTGATAACTAAGTGCTCACGCTAATGTCATTCTAACCCTTGTGCACCCAATGCACTTTGTATGTGCACACGACCAAGTCATACATTATGGCACGCTCAGTTTATCCTAGGTGCCACACTGCCCTATACTATATCATTTATTCAAACTACAATTCAATATCGTGATGTCGTAGAACAAAGCTAAGTACATGTGATTATTTGTAGCTAGTTGATAAGTAATTTATCGGTATTCAGTTTGATATGTAGTAACCCCGGTTTCATGATAGTTTTTACCTATGTGCACATGAGGGGTTAATTTAAGTTTACACATGCACACTGTGCACGCTGTATATGCACACAAAGTTTGACGACAATGCACATACAGCTGTTTACCAATTATTCTTACAATTTTTCCCCCTTAAGTTGTAGTTATGTGGTCATATGGTCTTGTAGTTTTTTGGTTTAATTGCTTACTCAGATGTCATATGATTATATATATATATATATATATATATATATATATATATATATATATATATATATATATATATATATATATACACACACACACACTAATAACTAAGTGCTCACGCCAATGTCATTCTTTCCCTCGTGCACTTAATGCACTCTGAATGTGCACACAACAAAGTCATACATTATGGCACGCTCAGTTTACTCCAGGTGCACACTGCCATGTTTTATAACATGAGAACCGTTGCACAACCAAAGACTTACTCTTCACACTCTGGAGTCCAATACTTCGTTGAACCTGGTGAAATATTCATCAAACACCCGGTTGAACTCCCTGATGAGCCGTCATGACCTGTGGAGCATTGTAAAATTATTTACTCAGTATATGGTTAAGTAGTGTGGCACAAACATTATAACAAATGTGCACTCCCTCACAGTTTCTGTAGCTTATCTGGCACATTCATTACCACATAGGTTCACTCACGGTAATCATGTATAGGGAGATTGGGATGTGTAGAAGGATGCATTTATTCTTCGTACACGTGATTTGTTATGTGCACTTACCCTGGGTTGCGTGTGCACACAACCTAGGCTAACCAGTACAGGTTGTGCACATCAGTGGCGTGGTGCGTGCATTCTAAGCATAATTAGTCTATGTTCAACACATCTACCAACACAGGTGTGTGCACACAAAATATCTAAACTCATGCAATTATGGGGTCACGCGCAGCAGTGTAATAATGAACCATTCATGTAATTGCAGGCTTTAACCTAGCACTATGCATGGATGAATCTAAATGAATCACAAATTGAAAAACGCACAGACATAGCAAGTGAAATATTAATCTTACCTACGTGGTCTTCACTAGCCATCCTACAGCAGCACACGCGTATTGTCGACAGTTTCCAAATGCGCACGACCACCAGAATTTCGCGATCGCTGGAGGGCAGTAGACATTGGACAGAGTAGCCGATTGCAGACTCCCAGACCAATTGAACTCCTTCCCATCCTAAAATCTTAGAATCAATTCAAATATAATATTAGTTTATTATTAGAGCCTAGACAAAATTACAGTATTATCCTTTTTAATTAATTATGTTGAAGCTCTACATAATAATGATTACTGTATATAGATCGTTGATTGTGTAAATTTTAATGGTTTAGATTAGTTCTTAAGTTCCTACCTAACAAAGGGTTCTCACTTGAAGCCTCCCCTATATATATATATATATATATATATATATATATATATATATATAAACCAAAATGGAATTTATAATCCTCCATATTATAATTCCAACCAACAACTATATACAAAATATAGTACAAGGATTTTTTGCTTGGAGCATAATTTCAAAACCGAAAGAAGAAGATCAAAGATGAAGGAGAGTGGTTAGTACGAGTCGAGCGAAACACTCTTTCTTTCAAACCTTATTTGCTACCACCCAAAAGTGCTAGGAGCATTGTAACCTAGATTTTCTAGGATAAAACGTACTACGGTTCACCGTTTGAGCACCCAAATGAAGAACCCGACGAACAAGAGCACGGGCAGAACACAGAAGACAAGAATAGAGTAGGAGTAGAGTTTTTGGAGAGAAGAAAATCAGTTGCGTGTGTTGTGTCTCTTGTTCGTAAAAAACCTACTGTCCCTACAATACTCTTATATAGGAGATGGAGTACATAACAGCATTCAATGGTGGCATTCAAAACACCTTTGTAACTCCTGAAACAACACGCCATTACTTGGGGTTTAAATTCAAAATTAAAATTGGAATTAATTAATTCCGTAACTGATGAATTTGATCCTAAAACCGAGAACAAATCTGGTTGCTAGACATGACATTTCATGCCCGCATGTGCCAACGTACACGAGTTTAGGCCTGAATCAAGCCTTTTTCAGGCTTAGTTTGGATTTAATTTGCACCTAATGAATGTAATAATAATAATAATAATAATAATAATAATAATAATAATAATAATAATAATAATAATAATAATAATAATAATAATAATAATAATAATAATAATATAGGACAACACTTTAGCGGTTGAACTTAGTGTGATTGAGAAATCTGTTCATTGTCAGTGCATTATGTGTGACACCCCGTAAATCTAAACACTAATCGAGGATTAATTGAAGAATTAATCCAAGTTTCCTTGGTATCAGAGCCTAGGATGTTAAGAGTTGAACTTTAAGAAGTTAAGTGTGAGTTGAGACCATAAGTTGACCTTTAAGTACCTAAGTGTTTAGGACTTAGGATTACTAAGACGCGCGGTGAGTTGTTTGTTGTGTTTATTCCTTTGTTTCTGTTTAGCATCTCGTCTTTAGCACCGGGTAAGGGTGCGCAGTTTTCTTGTGCCTACCGTGTCGTGTTGTTTCTATAGAATCTCGCTAAGGCTCCGCCTCGTCATCGTGCCCGTAACCCAGAGACGCCAACCAACGAGTAGTTGGCTCAGAATCTACAACATCTGACTCAAACGATGCAGACGCTGAGTGACGCCCTCTTGCTCAACAACAACCCTCCTCCGCCGCCACCTGCCGGGAATCGAGATATGGGACGCTTAGTTTCGGGGCATAGGCCGCCCGTCTTTGCTGGAGAAGAAGACCCTGTGCTGCTCGAAGAATGGATCAGGTCCCTGGATAAGATCTTTGCGGTTGTGGGTTGCCTAGAAGATCGCCGCGTCGAGTTGGCTTCGTTCTACTTTAGCCACGAGGCCGACCTTTGGTGGGTGCACGAAGGCCCAGCGTGCCAAGGGGAGCCTGGATTCGGCTGGTCAGCCTTGAAGGACAAGTTAAGAGAGAGGTTCTACCCATCCCACGTGAGATCGGCCATGTACGAAGAGTTCTTGCATCTTCAACAAGGGTCGTCATTTGTGGTGGAATACCACAAGCGCTTCCTCGAGCTAGCCCGCTTTGCACGGATGTTGGTTCCCACCGAGCTGGCAAAGGTGGAGAAGTTTGTGGCGGGACTCAACTACGAAGTCCGGAAAGCTTTGACGGTTACCAAGCCTAGGACGCTGAATGAGGCCTACCTGAGCGCAGCAGACCTATATCGATTGCAACAACTTCAAAGGGGATCTTTTGAGTTCACCAAGAAGAGAATCGAAGGAAGTGGATCTCACAGTTTCAAGAGGCCAAGGCAAGACTTCAGAGCCAGACCCGCACCTCTTCAGCCTCAAGGATCGACTCGGGCCGATAGTGGGGAAAAAGAGAGGCCTTTTGGATGTAAGAGATGTGGGAAGGACCACATTGGGAAGGATTGCCAAGGGAACGCGCTTCAGTGCTATAAGTGTGGGGAAAGGGGCCACAAAGCTTTTGAGTGCTATCACCAATTCAACCAGAGAACCTTGCCACCTAGCACGAGATCCTGTGGACCTTTGCGAGGTAGTTCTGGTCGAGGTATGGCAGGGACAAAGCCTTCCGGCAGGGTGTTCATGATGAGCCGGTCACAGGCCGAGACCGAGGGTTTAGTGGAGGAGGAGCCTGCAGGTAACCTTCTTGAGCCTACCTTTTAACTTGTGAGAGTACCTTTTTCGTGTTGTTCTTGTGCCTTTTGTGCGATCCTCCTTGTCATCTTTTTGAGTAAATTTTATTTTTATTTTTCCTTGGTAATCTGCTTGTCCCTTTTGAGTGCTTAACTTTAGTTTTGATTTCGAAGTTTTATGGGTATACATGTAATTAAGACCTCACCCCTTTGTGTCACCTAAGCCTAAACCATTACCTTAAAGCTTAGAATGGTCAATTGTTAGGGCACCTCTAAAAGTTGAGCCTAAAAAGCTAAAGGGAATTTAATTTGTAACTAACAAGTTTTGAACCCAAGTTTCCAAGTTTTTTAAACAACCCTTAAACCATCTAGACCAATTGTGTTTATCCCATAAAAATTCCTTTTAACCTTTTATTTTCAACCTACCCAAAAATCCGCAAATTAAAATCTTATTTTCCCAAATTTTCCCCAAAACCCTTCCCTCTTTTTTTTTTCTCCCACTACCCGTGAGTAGCAGCAGCCGAACCCACCCCCTGCACGTCGCATCCCTTCCGCCTTCGGCCTCCAGCCACTCGCCGCTCCTCATCGCCGTCAACCGTCGTCGCCAACAACCGCCGGAAGCTCGTCACCTCGCCGCTGTTCCGCCGGAATCACAGCCGAGAAGCCGAGAAGGAAGAGAAGAAAACGAAAATAAAAGAAGAAGAAGTTTGGGTCTACCTTGGTCTTAGACATCTCAAATCATGCCTAGAAGGTCTAAAACCGCAAGAAGAATGGAATGGGTGGACGCCCATTACTCAGTTTTGGAAGGTAAAGCTTTTGATCCCGACTCTTTTTCAAGTTCTTTGTTGGAGTTGTTGAATTACCAAGGTTTGTTGGATGGGTATCTCGCGATTAGGACCGAGACTTACCCGAGTTTGGTAAAAGAACTTTACCGTCACATGAATGTGACCAAAGACGGAGGGAAATTGGAAATTAACTCAAAGGTGGGAGGTGTGAAAATTTCTTTGACCGAGAAACGGTTGACTCAACTTTTGAGTTTGACAATTACGGGAGTCTCACAGTACAATGGTGACTCTTGGATTGAGACGAATAGCATGAGTTATCAGAATTTCTTGAGGTATCTGTTGGGAAGGACTGGTGGTTTCACCCAGGCCACAAGGCCAGAGAGGAAATGGCTTTCTGCCAAGCAAAAGATTTTGGTAATGTTTGTTTCTGATTGTCTGTTGCCTAACATTAATAAGAGTCGCTTGCTGGTAAATTGGAGTGCACCTTTGCTTTTTGCCTAAAATACAAAGTGAAGTTCAACTTGCCTTCGTTGATGTTGCAACATATGGTTTACTGTAGAAATCATAACCGGAAGAGCTTACCTTATGGCATGGTTTTAAGTTGGATCTTTGTTAGGAAAGGGGTGAGTGTTGAAGGTTGTGTGCCCAAGCCGGTGGGCAAGATGGTTCTAGATGCCACAAATCTCCGAAGTTGTAATCTGTTTCAGTTGGATGATGGGGACTACATCACTCTTGAAGAAGTCACAAGGAAAGACCCTGCCATGAGGAGTTCTTTAGTTGAAGAGCTTGAGATCCCAGTTGGGAAGTTGAATCAAGTGGTGCAGAGTTTGGGTGGGGACGCTAAGGATGAAGGTGAAGAAGAGGGAGGAGAAGAAGAAGAAGAAGGGGGAGAAGCAGAGGAAGCCGAGGAAAGTGACTCCGAGAGCAAAGAGAACGTAAGGAGGAAGGAAGTGAGGACCAAGAATGAGCATGATGCCATGACCCACGAGGAGCGTGTGGTGACCCTCCTTCGATTGCAGAATCAGATGATTGAGGAAGGCTTCTCTTTCATGAAGGCTTAGTTTGTCACCGTTAACCAGAGGCTGGATAGGTCGGAAGCTAGTTCTAGCCGTGGTGGAGCCGAGGAAGATTCAGACGAAGATGCCGAGGATTCGGAGGATGATTCCTCCTAGGCCGGAGTTTGGGGTAAGCGCGTTTTTCTTTTCTTGTTTGGGTGTTTGCCAGTTGGTAGTTGTTGCTTGTTGAGTTGTGTGCTTAGTTGTGCTCTCTTGTTTGCATTGGTTGTTAGCTTGTTGTTTGTGAAGTTGGTTTAGTTGCTTTGCGTTGTTCGAGCCTAGTTTGTTCTTGGTTTAGGATTGGCGTAGAAGGGTACTAGCTGTCCTTAAAGTTGTGTTAGTAATTGTGTTGCTTGAGAAGCCTTTTTTTTTGTGACTATTGAAACCTTGCATTTCTTGATTCTTGAAAACCTTACACCTTTTGATTTTTGAAGCCTTGTTTAGTGGTATTTTGCTTCTTTTTTGTCACATTTTTGATTCGTTGCTACCCTTTGATTGAAATCATCGTGCCCAAGCTTCGGGGACGAAGCTTCTTGTTAGGGAGAGAGGATGTGACACCCCGTAAATCTAAACACTAATCGAGGATTTGGCGGGTTCCCCTACCCCCCACTGACTCTTTTGCAATATTTTAGTCCCGGGATCTTTCGTGGAACCCGAAACCATGTCCAGAAACATTTAAACACAAACGACAATACCACGTAATCAAGCAATGGATTAAAACCAAGAAACACGTTAAATACATCCTAACATGACTTCTAGACATAAACAAGACTCAATACCCGAACAAACAAAATCCCACCCAAATATACCAAGAATATCACAATACGAAATCCATGATTTAACCTAGGGCTCTAATCACATTTAAATCACAAGATCATAACTTTATCCTTAAAATCAAGAATATCAAGATCAACACACAATTATCAAGATTCCCTCATAATCATCAAGATTATCAAGATCAACATATAAGATCATCTCATAAACATCAAGATTATATCATAATCATCGTAAAAGCTTTATCAAGACACAACCATAGAATTGCATATCAATGGAGCCAAAGAAGAAGATTATAGCAATGAAAATAGGTTTTGTTGAGACATGGGTTACCTCTTAGCCTTAATTAGAATCCTTGGCTACTAAGGTTCTTTCTCTAAGACCTCCTCTTCTTGATTTCTCCTACGTTTGGTGATAGGGGGATTCTTGGGAATTCTTGTGTGGTGGAATCTATTGTGGTGTGAATTCTAGGTGCCTCCTATGTCCTTATATATATCTAAGAGTCCTAATTAGGGTCTGAATGGTATGGATTTACTAATTCTATTCCTTATAGGACTAAGGGTTTGGTTTAGGGATAAGGGTCCATGGTCTATGGTGGACCCTTCCTAATTAATTAAGGGTATTTAATTCTCTTTTAAGGGTAAGTATTTAAATAATTAGTTAGGGTTAGAGGTCGTAACACGGGGTGTTACACCCTCCCCCCCTTACAAGAGGCTTCTTCCCCGAAGCCGGTGCGTGGATCCATTCTTTCACCCCTGGACGTTACGTATTTTGCCCTCCTGATTAGGAAATGCGGCTCCACATGTCGATTTGCTGGGGGTAGAGTGGAGCTTGGTGATGTGGTGTTTGGAAAGTTTGGGTCTACCTTTGTTTCCTGCTCCCGAGCTAGATGCCCCGCGTGTGCCCAACATGGCCTCGATTGCCGCCACTCTCCGATCTAATGCGTGCTTCGCGTGGATTAGGGATGAGAATCTTTCATCCATGGGTTTTGCCGGGTGAGTTGCGCGAGGATGCGCTCATTGACGGATCTTTCATCTTGGCCTTCTAGATTCCCTCTCCCTTGTGCGGGTGCAGGTGGGTTAGGCTCGCTATCTTCCTCCTGTTCCTCTTGTTCTTCTTGTTCCCCACATTCTTGCATTGCCCGTCTCAGTTTCTTGTTGGAGATTTCTAACTGATCAACCAACTCTCACCGTTCTCCCGTGGGCTTTAGACAAACTTCCTCGAGGGTGATGTATTGTCCCTCTCCGATATGGTAGATGTCGTTGCAGCGGAGGTTCTGGGCATTGAAATCATCCCGCTTACGGGTTTGGTTTCCGTGTGGCTTAGGTCCACCCATTTTCTTTCCATGATCCAACTTAGGATCATCCCGCAGGGTAGACTAAACCGGTTGCTAGACTTGCAAAATTCCATGTGTTTTAGCATAAGGGCGGGTAGGTTGAACTTGACCTTGTGTTTCAGAAAGTAGGCAAAGGTGCACTCTAAGCTCCCCATGTCTTTGCTCTTGTTGTTCGTGGGCAACAAGCTGTCAGTTACAATCATGACTAGCAACTTCTGTTCGGCGGTTAGCCATTTCCTGTTTGGCCGGGTGGCCGAGGTGAAGCCATCTTCCTTCCCTAGTAGGTACCTGAGGTAATCCTTGTATCCCGTGTCTTGGGTACCGATACTATGCCTTCCGGTCATAGTCTGATACACCCGTGGTGGTCAGTTTCAGGAGTTTGGCCAAGTGGCCTTCGGAGAGCACTATTTCTTTGCCCTGGACCTTGGAGGTGACTTCCAACTTGTCCCCCCATTTGATGGCTATCAAGTGGCGATAGAATTCCTTCACCAACTCGGGGTACATATCTCCTTTGATTGTGAGATAGGTATCTAAAAGCCCTTGGAAATTAAGCATATCGACCAACTCCGGAGAGAATTGGTCGGGTTCGTGGGCTTTACCTCCTATCACCGTGTAGTCGTCGTTGTTCCACTCCGGGGTTCGGATACCAACAGGCTTCTTCGGCATTGCGAGTTTTTCCAAGGTGGTGTTTTTCCGGCGATGTTTTTCCGGTGAGGCTCTGTGAAGCTCCGGCGGTGTGGCTTTACTCTGGTGGTGTTCCTGCTCGAAGGCGAAGGCGGCAGGCCTAGGCGGGCTTGAAGGCATCGTGCGGCGATGTGCGGCAGTGGGGTGCGGCCGGGCGAGCGACGGGTGGCTTCCGGGGCGGCGACGGCAGGCGCACGACGGTGGTGTTGACCGGGTGGTTGTCGGCGGTTTGTTGGTGGCGGTCGCTGGCGGGGTGAGCTGCTGTGGTGTTCGGGTGGTGCCGGCGGCCTGGAGAGGGGGAGAGAGAGAGAGAGTGTGTGTGTGAGGGAGGAGGAAGAAGAAGGGTTTTTGATTTGGGGATTTTGTGGGTTTTAGGGATTTTGAGCGGTTTAAGAAG